AATGAACAGTGCCATGTTTACTTTACTATATTGATAGGATTAAAAAAAAAACAAAACAAACAAAAAAACCCCCCCACAATTACACTTACTCAGATCTATTTTCTTTATTGTTACTGGAAAAAAAACCAACATATTGTAGTAGAGGTTCAAGCTAGTTGGGTAACTGAATTAAAGCAAAAGATTTCCTTCAACATCTATGAGATAAATATGTTTCCAAATACAAATTAAAACATCTTTCTTACAGTGATCACTGAGAAAAAAAAAGAGGAGTTGCCAATAGGCAGGGGAAGGGACAGGATTTGTTGGAAGTCAGAAGTAGATGTCAAGAGCAAAGTTGTGCTAGAAGGCCAAGATGCCAAGTGCTGCCTTCTGACTGCACCTCACATCTTAACCCCAGCAGATTCCAAATGCTGCATCTTTTAGGAAAGCTGAGCAGTCCACACTGCAGCACAAACCTGCCAAACTCCACCTCAAATTGCCCACAGGAGCACCCAAGGGACCATAAACCCCACGAGGAAAGCCAGGATGAGGCCAGGAGACAGAGACAACCACTAGAGGGGCAAAATCAACAACCTGGCATTCAATGTTCACAATTCTTGGTCACCCCTCAGCACCAAAGATGTAAGTACATCTCCACTGTGAGCCTGATGGATTTTCCTCTTCCCAAGAATGACTAGGGGCACATCCAGGCCCTGAGGCAGCAGCAGAGCTGAGCAGAGGTGCCCCAGCTCACACACCAGATGGGTCAGCACAACCTGGTGGGGATTGAGTTTAATCTTCTTGAAAAAGGAATGAAAAGAGGGAGAGTCTGAAGCAAGTTATAGAACCTAACACTTCTTATACTTAGATCAGTGAAGCATTCCCCAACCCAAGATGTTAAGACTGGATAAAATGAGCTCCAAGGCATAATGCTGAGATTATTTTTACATGAAGTTGATTGCCCACGGGAGTTGCAGCCTGGAAAGATCTCCTGGCTTCCAGGCATCTTGCTCAGCACAAAGTGAAATACTCCCCCTTGGATCTAAAACAGGCCAAAACCAACTTTGCTTTCATTAAAAGAAAACTAATTTTCTGTAGGAATCTTTGTTTTGGTAAAAACTTCTTTTTTCTACAGGATTTCCTCTTAGAGGACAGCACTGACTAGTTCACCAATGAAAAAAGTAAGGACTGGTCTCCAGCCTAAGATCTTTTACACTGGGATGCCCTTAAAGTTATTTTTAATGGGGAGGGAAGAAGGCAGCTCACCCCTAATATTCCACTTCACAAGAAAAGCATCACCCCCCACCATTCTGCTCTTCTGAAGCCAGTCTCCAGACAGTGCTTGCAACCAGTTTCCAGCAGTTGGCACTGATGAGAAGCTCTGTGTTTCAGTAAGTCTGCACTGCAAATCCACCTCCTTGCCCAAGATTTAACATGGCAATGCTACGCCAACAGTCAAATCTTTGCTGGCACAAAGTAGATTAATTCCATGCAAGTGTTTATGTAGATAATTATGTGAAAACAAGAAAGTAAAAGTCCAAAGCCCTGAGGTATCAACAACAGAATTCTTTCATGAAGAGTTTCATTTATATAGAAACAATTGAATTTATACTGTAGTTACATTCACACAACACAGTCCTGGCTAAAGAGCTATCAAACTGCCTTATGGAAACCCAGCTCTGGAGCACCATGTGGAGTTCTGGGGGCTTACAAAGACAGTCTAAGAGGATGGTTCAGAGAAGGCAACATGACTAAACCCGCAGTTTGAAAGGAAAAGCATCTCTGAAAAGCTGAACACATTCAATGCAGAAAATGATGCTTTAAAAACAAGTTCATCACACATTTTATCTGACTAGAAAATAAAAATGTATCACTGTAAGCAGTACAGCCCTAAACCAAGCAGTGCTGAACGTGTAAGCTGAGAAATCAGTATTTCAAATGGACCATCTAAATATCCTATCATTTTTATATACTTACACCAAAGGGCCATTTTCATCAGCTTAACGAGTCTGCCTTACACCATCAAGTAGGAAATATGTTTTTAAAGCATTTGAAAGTCTGGAATTATTGGGCATTTAAAGATAATAATACACTTTAGCAACTGATTTAAATAAAATATTGAAAACAATTTTGAGGAAGAGAGTTTATTAACCTAAAGTGTATATGATAATTTATTTTTAATAAGATGTTAAACCCACTGCTATTATGGACAGGACTACAGTTCTTGAAGGAACTGGCACATGCACTTTAAGACCAAATATCCTATGGCTTTTGCTAAATGAGTGACCAGGCTCCCAGCATTTGGTGAGTTTGTCACAACCCTAATATAACTATTTTGCTAAGATGGGCATGGTGCTGGTTGAACCTAGTTGGTAAATCATCATATAACCAAGAGAGTGACCACAGACATACTACTGTTTTTTTTTTTCTGAAAGCCATGGCTCTCAAACACCTCAACTGGGAGGAAAAATAAGAACAAAGACTTGTTTAGATCCACTGTAAACAGATGACCTGGCCACCCTGCTTTTACAGTTGCCTCCAGAACCCTTTTAGAGCAAATCCTTCAATGTCCCTAAATGCAACCAATCATTTTCCTAAGGAACTTCATAAATAAGGTGTCACTATCACTCTGTCACAGGGTTAGGATTTAGGATAATGAGGACAGGCATTAGCAGGGTAAATAATGAGAAGACTACATTTTGCTTTTGTAAACACTAGACTTGAAAAAAATTGAGAAGTTAATATTGAATTATTTCTTACCAGCAGCACAGGGAGGCAGGCCAAATGAACAGCAGAAACCCTGCAGCACTGTGCAGAACCAGGAGAGACTGGCAGAGAAGAGGATCTGTCAGTCTAGAAGCCAGCTAATTAACCATGTACTGGAATGGTAGTTTGTAGGACTGCAAAGATGAATTAAAGTGTCCAAACTGGAAACTAATGAAAAAACCACAACCACCACCTGGCACCCAACGTAGCATGCTTATGCCTTTACCTGTAAACAAGCACTCAGATAGTGGGCTGTGTTCCTTGGAAGGCAATTATTAACTCCCCTTTATGTCCCCAGTAAATAAAGGCTTTCATCAACTCATCTGTAAGCTTTAAATGTTCTATCTTTAGAAAGGGTTTTTAGTATTTGATCAATAGTTTGGAAAAAACAAGTCCAAGTTTAATAGCCTGGTGAAATTTAATGTCAACTTCTGAAAGGTTTTAAGATTGATAAACAGATACTAATTTGCTCTTAGAGAGCAGAAAAAGTAGGTATAAGCCAGTACTGTGGGGTTTTTTTCCCTTCCATAAGAAGTAGTACATAATGTAGAAATTCACAAGCCCAGAGCACTTTGTCATGACACCACCTCAAATGACTGATAATTAATGAGAGTGGAAGTAGAAATGTTATCTGTAAAGACAAGCTTGGTCCAATAAACTTCAAGGTTTGCTTTCTGCCTTCAACTGCAGACTGGTAATTTTCTTCACTTTTAAAAAGGCTATTATATATATATATATATATAAAAGTAACAGAACAAGGTTTTAAACCAATATCCAAACCTTTAGAACAGTAAGGAAAAGTGACACAGAAGAAGATGGTCATTTTCAAAGCAAACAGTGTGTTCTCTGAGAAAAATAAACAGGCTGCAGCATTTAGGAAATGCTCAATTTCATCTTTGGGACAGGCACTTTAAAGTTTATGTATCATCTGCCATTAATACAAGTTTGATACTTTGTCACATAAAAATTAAGTCAACTTTTCTGCAAATGGTGGATTTTTCATTACTGTTTGTCAGGGAAGCAGGGAGAAAGGTGCTCTGTCCCCACCACAAGGGCACCTAAGGTGCAGAGCTGCCCCTGTTAATCAAAGCCAACACTGAATTATTTGAGAACAGTTGAACTGTTTGGATAAGGTCTCAGGCTTCAGGACAGACCCGCATTTCAGAAGCATTCCCTTAAGCAATCCTGACTGGATCTATTCTGCACATCTTCACTATTCCACAGCAGCTTTATGTAAAAAGAGGTTCACCTAACCTGGCTTCCTTGATGTTTTCCCTTTTAATTTACAGAAATATAATGGAAATCAGTATTTTCTCCTTGCAGTCATTAAAGACTCATTTCCTAAAATAACTTCATCTTCCCCTTGTTCATCGAGGTGATTATTTTGGTCCTGCTTTCCTAATGGCTACATTTTTATACTTAACATTTAAGTTTAAAAAAAAAAAACCAACAAACAAACCTTCAAGTTCTAATTTTTATGAAAATAATCCTAGAAGGCAAAGACATGTTAAAGCAAATTACTTGTTAATGACCTGGTGTTCTTGTCTTTGTAGGCTTTCATATCGGACCGGTCAAGACACGGCTAATTGCGACACGTGCAGGAACAGTGCATGTATTATCTATAGGTAGGTTAATTCCCACTTCTTCCTCAGGGAAAGTCATGATTGGTAGCCTTGATTCTTCAATACCACAAAACCAGTTCAAAAACACCTGTTTCTAAGTCGAAAACGTTCAGGTCAAGAATAGATGACACTGGGTACTGCTGCTGCTGCAGCTCTTGGATGTGAGTTCTCACCAGGTGGGAGCTTCACTTCCACAGAGCTGCAGATATTAAGCATTTTCTGTCCAGCAAGTCAACAAACTTCAAACTGATTTCTATAGCAGTAACTACTGGTCTCAGGAAATTATTCTGATAGAGTTTCTAGCAAAGAGAATCAGAGTCAAGCTGGACAGCTTTCTCAGTCAGATGACACTGCGACCCAGGCTTTCGTGTACTTTTGTATTAGCAAAGTTTTAAAATATGCAGGGCAAATACATCCTGCCCAACACCAACAGCACCAGAACATTCTTTAAATCAAGCCTTTGCAGTCTTCATGCAACAGGCAAGACCTGCTGCACATCTACAAAGAGCCCCTTCAGCAGAGCAGCTGGGAAAGGGCAGGGCTGTGGAAGGTACATCCAGGTTTGCCCATTAGTGTCAAACTGATCAAAAATTGCAAACTTCTTGAAGGTTTTGCTCAAGATTGTTCTCACCTGCTACAGTCTCTCCTCCACAAGGAAATAGGTGGAGTTTCTCCCTAGAAACAGGCCAGGTACAGGAGGTGAAAGGATACAGCTTCTTTCTCTGAAGCAGAGGTTCCCCTCCTAAAATTCATCAGCTGAGACCCCATTTTGGCATGTGTTGTGTTAGAGTGAAGGAGTAACAGACAGTGGGGCACGACAGGAAGCCACATGAGCATTATGTGCTTCATACTGACAATTAATTGTCCTCCCCCATTAGAGTCCTTTAAAATAAAACTACATCTTTTCATGCACTGCAGGTAAGATGAGAACAAATGCATCTCAGTACCCCAGTATTGCAGAAAACTAGGCGGTATGTATAGTACAGGTGGAAATTTATCAAGATGACTATGAATTACACTGAAGATACAAACTAAAATGAAGGTACAAATGTTGGCTAGGTCTGAAAGCACAGGATTTTCCCCTTCACCCCTCAATTCTCTACTCAGTCTCTGATTTAAGCAGAAGACCTGGAGCTATTTATACATTATCTTCTAGCTGCCTGAAAGGGAAAAGGGATGGAAAACTTCCAACTCCAAATTTTCTGTTTACCAGCTAACTAGAAAAGGGAGCAATGCTGGTGCAGGGGAAGGAATCAATTAGTTACCCTTCCCTAAGAGCACACTTCAGAAGCACATAAAGCCTCCCTTTCTCTGAGCTCACCCCTGAGCCATTTCTGCCTTGGGACAGCCTGGGAAGGTACAACATTGCACCCTTTTTTTTAATTGGGGAACTGATTTTTATTTTATGAGCTGAAAAAATCCAATTGGAAATTTTTAAATATTTGGATTTCTAGCCAGCAGATTTCAAGTTAAGAAACCTTCCAATTTCTACTTCTTACTGCAAATGAAATGAGTCCAGGAACACAGATTTCAAGTGTTTGCCTATGGAAAAGTGTAGCAGCCACGTCTGGCTCTTTGGGATTTCCCACCAGAAGAGCCCTTTGGACTGAAGCTGTCAATGCTGGGCATTGCCTAAAGCAAAGTTTCCAGAGGAAGTTTTAGCAAAAATCAGCTCAGCTTTTTGACAAGCTAGGAGAACACATGCTGCAGGCAAGAAATCTGAAACCTGAAGAAGACTGCAAAATGGGAGCTATGAGAAGGCTGAATTACTAAGAGAAGACAAGTAGCCAGAAGGGATTAAAAAAAAAAAATCACGGATGAAATTACAGGATGAAAGGACAGACTGCCTTGTAGGAGCTTCTGCTCCTCCACAAGTCAAATGCTACAGTACTGAAGCCTCTGAAGGAGCAGCAGCATTTCATTAGTAAGGATACTAAAGCTGCTTTTCAATGTAGATGCAATGCTGCACCTTCACAAACAGCTGGCATGTCAAAATGCTGTGTAGAGTTATGGGATCTCTTCCAGACAAAACACCTTTTAGGAACAGAAGTTGAAACTGGCATTAAACAGTTCAAGATGCACTGAAAACCTGAGTATCTTTGAGGGCACTGACCCTGCAAGCTGTCAGTCCCTGTCAGAGTCAGACCTGGAGGACCATCCTGTCTGACCTACTGCATGTCCACCAACTGCTTCTACATCATGTTCCTAGGTTGGACCCTCCTCAGTCTTGAGCTCTTTCACCCAAGGAGTAGATGGGGGAGACTTAAGAAAAACAGAACCAATGCTCTCATGGGACAAATCAGTAACTTAAAGAGAAAGCCTTCTTTCCCATAATTGAATTTGTAATGCTTTGGTTATGAACACAGTAACATTTAAAAAACATCTTGAGTTGTTTCAAACCTTTTAAACTTCAGGGAAAGAGCATCTTAGAGGAAGAATTAAGTTTCCCTGCTGACCCACCTGCAATCTGCAATGTGAAGCACAGCACAAATGCAAAGCTAGAATGCAGAAACAATCAATTTAATACATTCTTCCCCTTCAAGATGACTTTTAAGAACACAAATATAATGTAGCACAAAAGCTACAGACAGTGTAGAAGGCAACAAAAAACACTGTTGTACTTGAAGGGGTTTTTTGTTGCTTTTTAGTATCAAAAATGTCTTAGGATTCTGGTAAGGACAGGATCAGTTGTGTCTTATGGAGCTTTAGGCTCTAACACAGCAGAAAAACTTACTGGGCAACACAACCACTATAGTTTTAAACCCTGAATATAAAAGTCCAACTCCATAACAACAGCCTAAAACAACCAGGAAGAAGTATTCTGCACTATGCATTCATGGTGATTAAAAAAAATAATAAAAGTTAAGTTAAAAAGTGTGATTAAATACAGAAAATAAACAACCATCTAATCAACTGTTAACCTGTATCAAACATTCATCTATTTCATTAGTATCAATAGCTCATAAACCAAGGTCACAAAACAGTTTCAAAATAATCTTAAAAATGTAAGACAAATTTACAAACAAAAGACAAATATTTACTTTTTTTTTTCAAACTAACATAAAGTCACCATTGGAATTTTTAAAGGTATAAAATAAGTTTTATAAGCATTTTTTTGTCAGGACCAAGTCCACTTAAATACTGAAGTCTAGCAAAATCTTGCTATCAGGAAGACACTGCATTGATATGCAGAAACTGTACCAATTCTTTTAACTCCCAAAACCCACGTGGACTAAAATCTTCACAGCCTGTTTTATTCTGTGATTATCTCTTCATGGAACTGCCCTTTCTGCTCCTGTTTAGATTTCCATCCCCTGTGAATTTTAATCTTTGAACAGAAATCTATATGACAAAATGAGGCTTCTGTTTCTTATTTCTGTGCATTATTCTAAGGCTTTTATCAAGAATTATTTCCATGGAGGAGCATCCTGAAGAACTCAGGCTAGACTTCTCTTCAGACAAAAAGGTCAGAAGTACTCAGCAGCTTTTACAAGGCAACTTCAGCTTCTAGAAGGAAACTTTTTACTGGCTCAAATCACTGCACAAGGGGAACAAAGAAATTGAGATCATACTATTACAGTTCTCGGGGGGAAAATTATTCAGAGCTACACCAACCATTTATTTTCCTCCTTTTTACTCTTAGATTTTGAATTATGCTGCTTTTCAGTATTCAATTTTGTCCTTGATACTTAAGTTATTCTAAGGTGAGCTCCAACTGTTCAACACTATTAGACTTTATGAAATGTAACTGAATACAACTGTGGCAAATTAAATAGCTTAAAATCATGGTGATACAAGTTAACTAGGTAGCACAGAGCCCACATGGAAGCAATTCACTTGGTATAGGTTTGATATAGCCATAATTATCCAGATTAGTAAACATGGCAATACAAAGTGAAAAATAAAACAAGTAGACATGAATTCCTAAGACAGCATCAGTGCAGCAAAATCAGGTAACTAAATGATAAGTCATTTTCATCTTGTTATTTCCTCCCCAAATTAATTAACTTGCATTCCTTCTCATCTTATCTCTAGACTGTAAGATTCTTAGTAGAAACAAAGGATCTTAATGGCTTCCTAATGCTGAGAGTGCTCTGGATCAGGGGCATTTCTGGTTTTTAGGATGAAACAGGAAATTCAACACAGATTGCTTCAAAGTGTATGAAGCTAATTTTTGAGTGATCAGTGCTTATCTGGATCCCTTTCCTCCAAGATGTGACATGCACTAATGCCATGTCATCCAATTAACGTGACCCAGAAAGAGACACTAGGATATTATTCTTTAATTCCTGCTTCACCTTGCCTGCTTAAATGCAAAGAGTTAAGCTGCTCTACAAACACTTGCAGGATTTGGGCCTTAACATTACAAACTAGGTAATAAAGAGGTAAACACAAGAGGTGTCAATGGAAATGAGAAGGTTGAGTAGAAGGAGAAAGGTTTTATCTTGAGGCAGAAAGCAGAGAGGCTGCCCAGAGCTTGTGCAGGCTCCATCCTTGGATGAGACAAATGGATAAAACTCCCAGCAAACCAGTCCTGAACCTAAATTATTCTGTTTCTGTGACCTTACAAGTAACCAACATATTGAATTACTAGCATCCAACAGTCTTTAAGTTATTCATGTTAATAATGTCTGTGTTATAAAAGTAGAAAACCCACCCGTACTTCTAAGTGTGTTGCTAGATACTCTCCCACAGCCCATATGCTTAAAACCAAACGGTTATGACTCCTCAAACTCATTTTCAATCCCTGATACTGCAGCAAAATTAGAACAAGTTCACTCTGCTGCCAGTGTGCAAAAAATAAACTCATTAACAGATATTCTGAGAATCATCAAACCCATGAAGCCACCACACCAATCCCTAATCCACAGTGCTAGGATTTCTACTAGGATGTAAAAAACAAGATTAGCCAGAAAGAAGGAGCCTGAGAAGTCAGCCACCCTGTGTGCCATGCCTTGAGTGAGGTGCCCACACTGTCCACCTTGGCTCTACATCCTCCCTCTAGCATACAATAGGCCCTATGTTAGAATCATTGAATGGAATCACTACAGTTTGGGTTGGAAGGGATCTTTAAAAGGTCAGCTAGTCCAAGCCCCTGCAGTGAGCAGGGACATCTTCAACTAGATCAGGTTGCTTAGAGCTCCATCCAACCTTGAATGTTTCCAGGGTTGGGGCACCCATCACCTCTCTGGGCAACCAGGGCCAGTGTCTCACCACACCCATCGTAAGAATTTATTCTTACATCTCCTGAAAGCTCTAGGTTTCACCCACAACACACACAGGCACAGTGTGTCACACGATCCCCAAAGCACCTCTGAGAGGCTTTCAGGTCCTCTGAGAGCAGCTGGAGGCCAAACCAGCCTCACACTGGTCAGTGCTGCTTCACCATGAGGGCTCAACTAGAAAGCCAGGCAGTTCTTCACTCCTCTCCCCTCAGGCTTCAGGCACTCAGCACACAGTCCTGCACTGATGAGCAGCTATTCAATATATTTTCTCTTTCTTTCCTGAATATGACTCAAATTCTGCATAGAAAACACTTTTGTTCCAAGCTTGTCCTGGAGTGCCTGTTATTACAAGTACAGGAGTCAGCATTGTTTTCCAAACACAACAACTCCATTTCACAAACACAAAAAGCAAAAGGGCCACAAAGCCCAAAGCAAAACAAACAGAGAAAGCCCGCAGAGGCTCCTGCTGACTTCAATTCCAAAACGACAGGCATGTATGAAAACAGTTTCCAAGGCAGCATTCAGCTGCCCTGCTGTCACCCTCCACCTTTCTGCCCTGCTTTGCCACCCTCACTACAAACCCAATGTCCACAGCAAGTCCCTGGGTCCTCCTGGGGACAACAGGAGATGATGATCCACGTGTCAGCCAGGCTCTTCAGCCAGTTCAGTGCACACCCATGCTGTGCAATAAATAACAGCAGGGGCTGGGAAATGGGAAAGGAAAGAAAAAAAACTTATATAAAAAAAAAAAAAATCTACTATTGGGTTCCCTTTGCACTGGTATCAGTCCTGAGCAGAAAACAAGATGACAGAAAAAGCAGGTTCAGGGTCCTCTGCTCCAGGGCTCAGCCAAGCACAGGCTAATGGAACTTGGAGCTGCAATTGCAAAGAGACTTTTGATCCCCCCTGGACTGGACCCATCTCACTCAGAGGGAATTTCAAAGATTTTAATTAGAAAGTTCTCTCCTGTGTTTAATGAGCACATCAAAACAAAATCCTCAAAGATCTGTGATTTGATTTTATTTGGCCAGATTTTCACTGGAGTGACATCTATGCAAAGCCTGATAAACAGGCAGCTGCCCTGAACCACTCTGGTAAACCTTATAGGTATTTAGTTGTTTCAGGAAGGAAACACTACAAACCAGAATACTAGTCACAGACTAAATGGTACTGCTGTTCACACAAACAGTCTGTTAGCACTAGAGTTTCATGCACAGGAAAAACTGGAGCCAGGTGTTGGCCATGGAGAAGCTCCAACCTCACATCCCAAAACTGGCAATAATGTAGGTAGGTGAACCTTTAGTGTGTCCTAATCACGTGTGTCAGGCAAACATTAGTGATCCTGGCATTCCATAATACTTAGATTCTTCTCTTAGTTTTGTAGATATTATTTACAATCATCAGCCCATTGAAAAATATGATTGCATCTAAGGAAAAAAACTGCTGAAGCCAGTAATTATCATTTCTGTCATGCATAATGCCAGAAGAACATAAGAGTCCTCACTAATTAAATTTATGGAGTTATCATGGGGAGGCTTAAACAAGACAGAAAAAAATAGACCAAGCTTGAAAGTGAAAAGAACCACATGGCACAGAGAGTATTTCAAAAAAAGGTCTGAGAAGAAACCTATAGATACTTGGGATACAGAAATAGCACTGAGCACAACAAAATTGTCAGAGCTGTGACAGGTGACAAAACCAAGTCCATGAATGCAAGAATTGGAAAGCTAGATGATCAGTCTGTAGAGAATATCTGCAACTCTAGAACCAAACTATAAAGAAGTCATAGGTAACACTTGCTGAACTTAATCCCACACCATGTGCTTGATATAAACACCAAAAACAGTCAGCTGTAAATAATCTATAAAGACACGCAGAAAATTACAGAATAAGGTTTTTGCTTTATTACTGCAGCACAAAAAGGTGCACAATAGGATCAAAGTTTGCCTGAGAGGTTACATTAAAAAAACAAAGTTGAATTGATAAACAACAATCAATTATCTTGCAAAATTCACAGCTATAAATGCTGAAACAATCTGAATGCTTTGTTGATCCTCTTTATACTCTTCCGAGGTAAAATATTTAACTTTGATGTAACCAGCTGAAAGACAATGTCTTTTCCTGCTTAACATGGAGGTGGTGGAAATATTTTGAATATCTGAACCCTTACCCAATGTGTTTCTCTCTTCCACTCTTACCAAGTTTATCCACATCACTCCAAATCACTGAAATGCTGACACTTTTGCTCAGCATGTATTTCAGTTAAACTAGGCATGGCCAGCAACAAAAAAAAAGACTTAACACTTTTCCAGCAGCTCCTGACAGGGCTTCACTGGGAAGTCCTTGCAGGCAGACAGCCCTTCAAAACACTCAAGGACAAAAATATCCCAGACTTCTTCTAGCATCTTTGATTCCCTCTCCTCCACCCTGAGAGGACAATGAATTCCACCAGGATCAGCAGATGGTATCTCATGGCATTATGTGCTGAGCTTGCAAAGGCACTCAAGTCCACCAAAACCTCCCGTGAGTCACAGCATTAGTTTGGTTGGAAAAGACCTCCATCGAGTCAACCATTAACCTAACACTGACTTCCACAATTCCAGATTACTTGGAGAACTTCCTCTGGAATGACACCAGGTGTTTTGCACTGTCTTCATGCACTCCAGGTGTGCTGCCACCCTCCCTAGGGCAGACAGTAGGAACCAAGTAGTAGCACCAAAAGTTCAAGAATCCCTTATCACATGAGCCACATTGGGAGCATGAGGCTCAAAAAAGCCCACCTAACTTCTCTAGTGGTTTATGCCAAACAATCACCAGCAGAAATAACTAAGAAAACATTCTGAACACTTAGCAAAAGCAAAGTGACATCCAGGAACAGTAACCTCAGCCTCACACAGTGCTCAAGTGGCACAGGTTGTCATTGCAAGGCTCAGGACAGCTCAGCAGCAGGGCTGAAAGGGCAACCTCTCAAGTGCCCCAACAGCCCCAGTCACACACAATCTTCACCTCAATAATTCATTTTTAGGTTTAAATCATCAAGCAAAAATGTAAGAAAGAAAGAAACTGACCCTGTGCCTACATCCCCTTAATTTCACCCCATCTTCCAAGTTCATCCTGATACCCAAGTGCCACATTGCAGTGTAATGCACAAGGCAGGATGAAGAGACTCAGCACAGCACTTGCCCACAAGCTGCTGCTCTACCAAATGCGACCAAAACCACCAAGTTTCAGGGGAATTGTAAGTGACCTAGATACAGTTTTGAGTATTAGACAGAATTAACCTTTTGCTGAATTTACAGTGTGGTTCCTTTGTTAAATATGGTACATTTGAGATGACCCACAACACGCTGTTGGAATGAAGGTTGTAATTTCATCTTTATTAGGTTTCTTAACTGCTGGCAGGATTTTGTAGCCAACACACTGTGTAGAATTCAGGAGGTGTAATTTAAAGCTTCAGTATATTTTTTTTTAATGCAAGTTCACAGTTTAACTGAGTATTTCCCTTATTTCTCTTAAATTTTAGTATCATTAGAACAAGCAAGTACACACTAGCAACTGCTGAAACAGGTTCTTTCCATGTTGCTTATTTTACCTACAGATCTGGTCAGCTAAATAAGTGGATCTACATCATTAGATGCTTTTGTCTCAGCAGTCATTTACAGCAAGTAGATTGGATGTTGCTGTCCTCATTTGTAGGGCCAAGTTTGGAAGCTGTCACCATATGCTAAAGGTTTGCACTGTAAAAAGGAACTGGTTTTTAATCTACTTTCCCCACATGTGTCTATGAGTCTGTACATATGCCAGCCAGTTTGGGGAACTCCAACTCATGGCAAGACTTGCAAGAAACAGCTAAAATAAAGAAATTACCATGACAACCTTGCTGCTTATGGCCAACCCATCAGCTTTTCTCAAAGTCATGATGACCCACCTGCCCAGCTGCCACCCTGACCTCCCAGACAGGAGAACTGAGCCTGGCAACCCTCTGCAAGAGCCCTTCCCCACAGAGATGAGGGGAAAAGTAGGATTTCTAATTCTCAGTCACTTGACTTCTCTTCTACCATAATCCTCAAGGCCCTCCTAAACAGGAGGGAGCAGTTTGCACAGTCCCATTCCCATTTCTCTTCTGCAGGATGTCCTTTTTTTGCCCTTCCTTTCCCCAAATCCCTTTCACTTTTGGTGCAAACAATGTGGAGATCTGAGTTAAAGTTATTTTGTATTTGAATTTCATAAATTAAGCACTTGCACAGTGGTGTCAGATGTTGGCTTAATGGAAATCTTTCCATCATAATCAGTAACTAATTGCTTCTTTTTTTTCCCCCTTTTTTAGTGTGGAATTGGATTTTAAACAGCAAGAAGATAAACTACAGCCAGTTTTGAGAAAACTTCATCCTATTGAGGAAACTCAGGTTGCACCTTTGCCTTATTCTCAGGAGAGCTACTCCTCCACTCCCAAGCAAAAATCCAAAACTGAATCAAAAAAGCATGGAAGATGGAAACTCTGGTTCCTTTAACCCAAGTCCATTACATGTGGAGTTCAAGGCCTTCTTTGAAAAAATATTTGGGATTCTATCAATCATCTCTGAGAGGATCTTGGCAGACTGAGCAGCGTGAGGGGTCAAGGCATCGCTGAGCATTCACTTCTCACCCTATGTACCAAAAAGTTCTTTGTACCTAGGAACTGAGGTCCAGAAGCAAGGAGTTAGGTAACACCTTGCCAGCTTTTATTTGCAGTTCACCAATGTGGGATGTAAAACCTGAATCGAAATTTGTACCAAGAAAGTAAAACTATTCCCTCTCTCCCTCCCTTTAGATTGGGAAGTGTCACATTCTAACCTGATCAATTGCAGGCTGTCATCCTGTGCACAGCTCAATGTCACTGTTGGGTCAAAGCCTTCTGGGGGTTTGGTTTATTGTCTTGAAACAATGAGGGGGGGGAAAAAAATAGCAAGCAAGCCTTACGTTTGCAATGGTCTTCAGTTTTACAAATCCATGTTGATTGGGGAGTGCAGTTTTCAGCACATAGATCCTGGACAAAGCACAATTTTTCTTGTGGTCCAAGACCAAGAATAATCTCTACGATGTGACTCGGTGTATATTTGCCTTCATGCAATGTAGACATCAGCCAAGCTACCACACTGGACAACACACCATAATTCCTAATTTAACTATGTCCTCATCACCAGACAAACAAGTTTGCTGCTTATCTCCAAGGGGCAAGCAGCTAAAAACCTCCTCACGTCAGGAGAAGCCTTTAACCACACCAAGCTGACAGGGTCAAGGCTACAGGCTACCTGTCCTAGATCTCACTTTGTTTCTTGGTACCCAAAAGGTCCTAATGACACATTCTGGCACAAATTAAAAAAAAAACAAAGCAAAACAACCCCACAAACAGAACAAAAGCTCTATGGATTGTTGGCATTTGTCATCATTTAGTATCTTTTTGTTAACACAGTCTTTGGAAAACCTCTCCACTCTTGCAGAAGGCACCAGAAAATTTACAGTATGCATCACACTTTGAAACCTGTCTGGAAGGAGCAGTAATTTCAAATGCTATTTATTTACTAAGCTTCTCAGATGGGTTTTCCCAACCTATTTGAATTTATATCTCAATCTAGTAAATGTAGTTGCTGACCAACACACTTAAGAGATGCAAAACATTTTTTTTTCCTCTCTTTTTTATTTGTTTTGTTGGGGTTTTTTTCGTGACTCTTTACAATTTTGCTCTGAATTATAAACTGCAATTTTCCTTTCAGCCTTTGCTATTGCCATTAAACTTGCATCTCAAATGACCATTTGTGGACAAATTTCTCATGCTAGAAGTGGCCAGGGAGTGAGAATCTTGTTGCCTTTTATTTTTTTCCAAGGATTTAAGATAAGTCATACAGAGTCATGTTACTAACTGGTTTAGTAAGAATTGGGTTTGAAACTGCACACCCTGCAGCATCAGTAAGATAAAAATTCTTCAGCCTTTAGGTGGAAGAAATGCCATCATTAGCAGAAAAGTTTGCACATACTAAAAAATGTGAAGTGTTTTCATTTACACTGTTTTTCCTCTTAGCTCAGCATCCACTCCATTACTGCAAGAAAACTGGAGGAAAACAACTTATTTGTTTCTCCCTTAAAGCAGAGAGCAAGAAAAGGAGGTTAAAATGAGAACAGAAATGCAGAAGGTCTCTTTGTCCACCTCCAAATAAAGTTCAGCATGCTTTAATGAAAACAAAAAGTCACCTTTGTGGTGAAACTTCAAGAGGGCTACAAGTTCTTGTACAGAAGCAAACAATACCCTGAAATACTTTGGTGAAAGCTGAAGGTTTAGATAAGGGGATCCTGTGGACCAGGAAGGAAGTGCAATTGTTTCATGTGGCAAAAACTTGTTTCATGCATTTTATACCCTTTTTAATTGAAAATATCAGTGTTTACAAGACAGTCTGCCCAACATGTTCTAGAAACCCAAGCTTTTCCAAACAAGAAAGTGTTGTGGTTTTTTTTTTTTCCTAAAAAGAAAGAAATATCCAATATGGACTTAAGAAACTACAGCAGTATTATTATTTTTAAATAGTGTTAATAATTAATGAACTCATCCCTGTTACCACGCCTAGTGTCTGGGGAATTTTTAAAGAAATTAAATCAAGCATCTCACCAATGGCAATCAACCAGTAGTGTCACCCACTCAGCAGCTTTTCCCATACACCCTATTCTAAAAGGTTCTTGTGTGCAGGGATCTGACCCAAAACTGAACTGTTTTCCTGTGTGGTTACTGACTCCTACAGAGACCAGTATTCTGTCATGGCTTCAAATCAGAGAGGAAAATTCACTGGTGAAAATATATGAGAGCTAAAAGTGAAAGTTCTCCCGGCGTGTTCTGTACATGGCCAGGCTATTTTCTTAAGAAATTGCAAATTTTTAATTTTTTACATTTTTTTAAGACTGGAAAAGCTAACATGCATAGAGTCTTGCTTAAAATGACATACCGTGTTATATCCTACCATCCAATGTAATTTGTAATAAAATGTTTTTGCAAGTGTGTTAAATGTATCATATTGTATTCCCTTTAGAATCACTCAGGCTCAGGTTAGACACGGAGAGAAAGACCTAATATTTTAGAGCTTTTAGTTAGATGTGACTGACAAAGCTGTTTTCACCCTACTGTAGATCTTCTAAAATGCAGGTGGGAGGTTAGAACAAAGAAAATGCATCTTCACTTCCAAGGTGGCTTTGCCCAACTCACAACACCATGCACTTCCACACACTAATTTGCTATATGCACTTCCCATTATCATGCTTTAAACTACTTTTTAGTCAATAAATACTGCAGTGATTTTCTATTACTTGCTGTTTTCTGAGTTGGTACCATTTCCATTGAGCAACAGTTACATTCTTTGTTTTAGAACTATTAGGAAACACTACTCATGTGAGCTTTACCTGTTTTCTTCAAGAAGAAAAAAAACCAACAACAAACAACACTGTAAAAATAGCTTAAAAATCAGGATAACCTGAAAAAAATCATTATTAAAACTGGAAAATCCTACCATTGGTACAAAGTGTTTGCTGTTTCTTGCTTAAGATGCAAAACCCCCGTCTCTGCTTTTATTTTTCAATCTATGTTTTAAAGGTGAAGCATTTTTTTTCAAAATTAAATAGGTTAATTTTCTATGAATGCTTTCAAATCAAGCAGGCTGTTAGATTATACCATTCCTTTAGCACCCTGTATAATAGCACACCTCATATATCTATTATTGCTGGGATTTGCTAGCTACAGTTATCACTGCCATCCTGACACCCTTCTCTCCTAGCAGAATGAAACAGATTGCACAAAACAATTCCTAGTGTTATTTCACCATCCATGATATACAACTTCTTAAAATAACCAGAGTGCTAGAAATTTGCTGTCAGTTTGTTTAGGTGAATGCAGTTTGGTGAGAGAAAATCTGGCAGGGCAGACCCGTTCACCACATCCCTGAGATTACATTTTACAGTCAAACAAAAACCTCACTGTAGGTGATGGAACAAAATCATCACCATCACTCAAACACCACCTCAGGAGGTTTTTTTTTTAATTTATGTTTGCAATACATAACTTTAAGTGTTTCTGCAAGGTAAGAAACCATGCAATTGAATAAACAAAGAACTCTGTACATCATGAAAGGCTGGTGAAGAAATGAAGCTTCCTCCCCAACACTTCAGAACCCAATAACTCTGAACTTGACAATTTCAAGGCACAGAAAGACAATTTCCGTCATCTACCTTCAGCCCCTAAGTAACTTCAGCCCCAGAATTCTCTCCTGGGACTCTCAATAACTCATATTTGACTTAGACTCCCATTTTACTGCCTTCCAGAAAGGCATCCTGCCCTGGAGACGCCAAGAGATGGAGAAGCCACCACTGTCTTGGATTGATGGATTCTATGCTTTTTCCAGTGTTCCCTTCACTCATCAGGGCTATTTCACTACTCTGCTTCCCACTTCTCACTCTCCTGTGCTGCCACCAGCTCCTCCTCCTTTGACACATCTTCACCCTGCAGAGAATCCCCCTTCATTACCACCCAGGGCACCTCTCAACCTTTCCATTAACCTCAGAGGGCTTCCACATCTCACACCACAGCTCTGTTAGAACAGAGGTTTATAAAGAGTGTGAAATTAAAGAAACTTGACTGACACCACCAAGGGATTATGCATCTATGTGTCTGTCCTGCTACCTAACAGAAATGAAGTCTTCTCTGGGACAGGAAGGACTGTGTGTGCCATCATTCACCTGAGCTCTGCAAGGAGGATCCTCAGAGGAATACTTCCTGGATCAGGATAATGGCTGATCAGTCTTGGTGGGCATTTAATTCATGGCTACAGGAATAAAGGCAAGATTCTCAGTATTTTTGGTCCAAGGTCCTTGTTTTACATTTAAAGTGTATTAGACAACATTAGGTTTTGGGTGAAGATGACACAGCTAAGTATTTCTTCAAAGGAAAAACCTACCATCTTTAGACACCAATATTGCCATCTTGATATAAAAAAACAAGTTGCCACATCCTTTATTTTACTTCTTTTGAAAAACTACTGTTATTTGAACTACACCTCCAGAAGATCCTTCCTTTTTAAAACTCCTTCTTTCTATTCATTCTAATACAAGTTCCAGGTAATCTGGAGTAGTATTGACAAAAGTTAACACAATTTCAACCTGATTCTGGCCCAAGTGCCCTCAGGTTACACTTGCATTTTACTCTTCCTACTTTGCTGACACCACAATACTGAATGGTTGCTGGTTGATCACAGCAGGGTTCCTTCAGCAACAGACTCAAGTCTAAGCCAAGAGAAAGATCTCCTTGAAATGACCCAGTTCTATTAACACTCATTCCATAATTACAGTGTGCAGGTACAGTAATTTCAAGCTGTACTCATCATCACCCTGGATATTTTTCACACAACTGCACTGAGTTAACACACATACAGGAGAAGTTTTCCAATATAATTCCATAAAGGCAAAAGGAATCATTAACATTTTAAAATATCATCTAAAT